ATGTATGTATATGCATATGTATATATACATATATATGTGTTTATATATGTATATGTATATATAAATATATTTGTTTGTATGTATATGTATATATATTTGTATATATATGTGTATGTTTTTTTATTTTGTATATATATTTATATTTTTATTTGTATATAGATATGAATATATATGTATATATATATATATTGCTGTTTATTTATTTTATTTTTATTTTTTTTAAATCGATTTTTTTCTTTTTTTTTCGGAATTTTTTTAAAAATCCGACGTGACATGCTGATGTGGCAAAAAATCTATGTGGCGTGTCACGTCAGTCGCCACGTGGCGTACCACATCAGCGTTTAACGGACACTTAACACCGTTTTCGGATTGTGTAGGAAATTGCAGTTAAATTGGGTAGTTCGTGTATCAATTTGGCACATTTGATAATTTAGTGTAGTTTTTTGTCAAATTAAAAATTCGTGTATGAAAAGGTCACATTTTACAAAGTCGGTGTAGGAAAATGTCATTTTCCCTTAATTATATTCCTATACTATATATCATATTGTTATTTTTTTGGAAAAAATATTAATCATCGTATGAGCTGTCCTTCGCGTAGTTGGAACATTCATTTTGACGAGATAGTCAAAGAGTTTGGCTTTACTCAAAACAAAGACGAGCCGTGTGTCGACCACAACTCTAGTGGGATCACAGTTATATTCTTTTCCTATACATAGATGACATTCTATTCATCGGAAACGATATTCCTACTCTGTAAGATATTAAATCTTGGCTAGGAAATTGTTTCTCGATAAAAGACCTTAGAGAAACGACATATATTCTTGGAATTAAGATCTGTCGGGACAGATAATGTCAGCTAATTGGCCTTTGCCAAAATATATATATCGACAAGATCTTGAAACGGTTCAAGATGGATATCTCTAAGAAAGGTCTCTTGCCGATGAATCCTGACATTTGTCTTCGCAAGACATCGGAGTTAATATATCCGGATGAGCGTGACCGTATGACTTGTATTCCTTACGCTTCGGCTACAGGATCGATCATGTAGGTGATGTTGTGTACTAGGCAAGATGTGTCATTTGCGTTGAGTATATGACTAGTCGTTATCAATCGTTATGAGTCGTACTGAACAAGAACATCCTAAAATACTTGCGAAGGACTAAGGATGCTTTCTTGGTTTATAGAGAATTGGACACACCATTGGTTGTAAAGGGTTACACCGATGTCAGTTTTCAATCTAATAAAGATGATTTTAAATCACAGTTTGGTTTCATGTTTGTCCTAAACGCGGTGTCAACTCTTGGATAAGTTTCAAACAGGCAATTGTTACTGATTCTACGGTAGAAGATAGTATATCGCAGCTTCCGAAGTTGTAAAGGAGGCCGTTTTTGGATTCGAAATTTTTTTTTATCAAGATCTTGTGCTATTTCCTTGTATTGTTGATTGGTCGAGTTCTAGAATAATACTATTTTTAGTACCCTTGTTTAATAATTAAAATACAATCAAACAAGAATATTGTTTACACATTTTTTTTTTCTAATTTAATGTTTTAAATCTTTATAATGTACACATATTTTAACCATCAATTTTTTATTGTATTGTTTTTGTAATATAAGAAACTTTTAACGGACATTCTAAGCAAAAAATTTCAAATATAGGAATTTTGTTTAAATATCTTATTGTTAAATAGAAGAGGTAATATATTCAAGTTTTGCTCCCAATAATAGTTAAATATCTGGAATAAATTAGTAAAATAAACTGTTAATTGAATGATCGAATTAACTGGAAAATTATGATTTTAACTGGATAAAAAAAGGACACAGTGGTCATTTCAATAAAAAAAGGTGAATTCAGATGTGGTTTAACATGAATTTGTTTTTTGTTTTATTTATAAATAATATTAAATATGGCAACTCAGGACAAGCAGTAAAATCATATCTCAAGAACAAGAAATACAACACACTATCTTTGTACACGGGCTTGACCAATCTCTTGTTGATATTTTAAAATAAATGATTGATTGGTTTTAATCTCTTATGAATTCATGTACACATGCGTTATAAGTATGGCGGAGGAGTAAAACGTCTGTAAAAAGACATGTCGTGAATTGTTTAAAGTGTTATGATTTGTCAGAAAAGGTTACGTACGATTTAGAACGTGAAAAATGATATCATAACATTTTACCAAAAAAAAAATGATATCATAACAATCGGGCTGTAGCTCGAATAAATGGGCGGGTAATTCGTTTTTTCTGAACAATGATGATTGGATTTCACAATCAGGCTGTAGCTCGAATAAACGAGCGGATAACCCACTTTTTCATAGTAATAATACTCGGATGCCATAATCGGGTTATAACTCGAAAAAAACGAGCGGGTAGTCTGTTTTTTCTGAGTAACCGTTTGAGCGAAAAATCGCAACCGGTCGACGAAAACTTCCGAGTTTGTGTTTATAAACACACTAGAAGCTATATAACACGAGTAAGAACAAGAAGAACATAAAAACACGGATTTATGATGTGGCACCGGTAACCCGTGTATAGTATACGGGTTGTGCCACATAGACAAATAGTAATAAAATAATAATGCGGAAACAAAAATACGAAATCCAAAAACATTTTTAAACAAACCAGAGTAAGCAGCAGAAAATACAACAGGCGATTAGTATCGCAAAATAACACATGTCCGAATAGTTATAATTTAACCGTACAAAATGCGGGAAATACAAGTCCTGTAATCCAAAATGTAAATCCCGTACATGATGCTGCCTCTCTCAGGTCGTCGTCTGCCGGATGCGCTAGGCGTAATCCTCGTGATCTGAAAAATATAAACCACGAGGGCTAAGCACAACTGCTTAGTGAGTAGTCCGGGTTGAACCCGGAAATCCCGTTCCCAACGAGAACGGTACAGTCCATGGGTGTTACTGATTCAATTCTTTCTTCCATAAAAATACATGCAATAAGTAAAACACAGTAAGCACGTAAATAACAATCACAATCACGCCCGTATGGAGTCCACCATAGGGCTTAGCCGTATACCCTGGTCAAGTCCATGACCAAGGGCGAATCCACGCCCGTCACTCGCGTGACGTTGGCCATCACATCGCATGCGATCGTGCGCGTCTCCTGCGCCTGTCACTCTCGTGACTACCGATGTCAAGTCCATGACACAACGGAAATACAATCATATCCGTATGGAGTCCACCATAGGGTCCAGCCATATACCCTAGTCAAGTCCATGACTAGGTGCGAGTCCACGCCCGTCAAATCCATGACGTTGGCCGTCGTGTCGCACACGACTAAAACGCGTCTCAAACGCCCGTCAAGTCCATGACGGTGATGGTTGAGTCCACAACCATCCACAAACACAATCACGCTTAACTCGTACGCACGAGCAAGCTACACACATGGCACACAACGTGCAACATCCCCATACTACAACCATACGTATCACGGTATCCGGTCCCTACCGAGCTACCGTTTAACGCCATGCAAATTCTACCCGCATACAATCACACAACGATCACTCGTATTTCGATATCGCACATCTCACTACGCTACGCAACGTTCTGGCGAAAACTCGGTTCGATTGATCCCAATCATGAAGTCTTGTTCTTTGGTGGGGGTTTGGTTTGTCCATGGTCAAGTCGAGTCAGACCCGGGTCAATCCCGTTGGCCGTTTCTTTTTTTCCGGTCGAAATCAGATTTTTCTCCCATTTTTCTCGGAGCCCGGTCCGGCGGACCAAATTCTGGTCAGTCGGACCAGTCTTCTTTCTTCCCTGGTCCGCTCCGTCTCTTGGTCAGTCGATCCGAGAGAGAAAACAAGCCTGGTCCGGCGGACCATGATTGGTCAGCCCCGGACCAGCCTGTTCTTCCCCTCTCTCGGTCTGGTTCTTGGCCAGGCAGTGCGTGATTTGTCGGAGTACGTCTGGTCCGGCGGACCAGGACTGGTAAGCCCCGGACCAGGCGTGTATTTTCTCGGTCCGGTCTGTCTCTCTTCTGGTCAGGCGGTGTACATTTCCTCGGAGGTCTGGCGGACCAGGCCGTGTTTTTCTCTTGGTCCGACTTTCTTCCCTTGGTCCGGCTGACTTCGTGCGTAATATTCCAGTCTCGGTCTGGAGCTAACCATGCGTGGTCCGGCGGACCGGGACTGGAACATTCTTCTCTCTCGCGATTCCTCCGATTCTGTTTCGATTTTTCTCTCCCGAATCGATTCAGAGTTGCTTCCAAATGCTACTAAAACACAGTTTGACATCCCTAAACATGTTCTAAACCTCAAACACGCAATGAAATCTCGATTTGGACCATCACACATTGAAAACAAGCTCTCACAAATCCAACTCAAGCCACTCACCTTGTTCTTGAGGTTGTCCGAGCTTGTGTGCGTCCTCTGCTTCTCCTTACGCCGTGAACACCTTCAGGGCACGTCTAGGGACGTTCCCCCTTGCTTCCCCGAGCTCCTCTTGCCCTGGTTCGTCGCCTTTCTCTCCCTCTCTCCCTCTTTCTCTACTTCCTCTGTTTTGCCCGAGAATGGCTAAGGCAGATGAATGAGAGCTGTTTATGGCATGCGAGAGGGGTCAAATGGGCTCGAGCCCAGGCCCATAGGCGAGCCTGCAACACCCTCGAGGCGTAGGAGGCGACTGGGCGGCAAGTGGGCCCCGGAATCCGACAAATTCCGCGTTCCAAGGTGGCAACAGCGCAAGTTGCGTTCTGTCGATTCCCGGTCCGCCGGACCAACCTCCTGGTCCGCCGGACCGGACACACTTTTATTTTTTTTTTCGAATTTCTTCTCCAGTCCACGCTGTCCAGTCCGAGTCCACCTGAGCAGGTTGGTCCGCCCCGGACCAAATCTTGGTCCAGCGGACCAACCCTTTTTTTTTTTTTTTTCCTTTTTCTTCATTCTTTCTCGGTCCTTTCCGCCCGTGACGATCCTCGTGCCTCTCCCCGGCATTGTACCATCACTTTTTGGTGATTTCGTGATATCTCTATTTAATTATTCATTTTTAAATAATTAAATATTCGAATCGGGTTTCGGGGTATTACATATGACAAGATCTAAGTGATTTTGTGAGTTTATGAGAAATTTAAGTATGTTCTTGAACATAGTTTTTCTGAAGAAAACTATATGCAAAGGTTTATTTATTTTCGGTTAAACAAGATTCTATTTGATAATTATTGAAAGGGTACACCGAAATCATTGTCGCTTCATTGTATCTCAAAAGTGTATTCCTATAATCTCAATTACTCGGTAGAGATCGAATAACGCTTTTAGGAAAGTGTTCGTCATATTTTGAAGTCATATCCGGTCTCTATTGTTTCATATGTGTTTTGATAGGTTGAAGACGAGATTATCAGATCAAATTGAAGTCATCATCTTATCGGGTACGCAAGTGTTTACATATTCTTTTATTTTATCCAACATCTCGTATATCTATTACACCTTGAAAACAACCACAAGCTACAAACCGGCATATATACCAGACAATTTAACCGGTGGTTTAATAAAACGGAGTCGGTTTTCAGAACTTGTTGATGAAGTCGTGCTGATGTGATGAAGAATATCGTCCGGTTTTTTCCTGGTTAATCCAATTAGCCACTCCCCACCGGTGGCTCGAGAAATGGTACTCTTCTTTGAATTGAGGACCGTTGATATATTCCTTCACGTTGGGCTTGTGCTAAACCAGATCTAGATCGCCCACTATGAATTTTATCAGTACAATGATCTTGCTCCCTATCCATGGCCCTAGTAGCTCATAGTTCCTGACCATTCGTCCATCCCAAAAACCATTACAATATACATATACGACCTTTGAACATAATTGCTAAGAGTGTAAGCGTTTTCTTTTACGGTGGTAGAGTAAGCAGAAGGCATATGTGGCATGCTTATGCTGACATGGATAAAATTCACGTGAATGTAACAGATTGCAAAAGAATCAAGAATAAGCAGTTAATACCTTTTTGGCTATAAAAGGATCTAGATACTTGAAGGTAAAAAAATACTCGTATAAGATACAGTTTTTCACAAGAGATCAAAGGCTTCTGAAGGGTTTTTCAAGAAGCTGAATACTCCTGCAAGAAGAAGAAGAACACGTTAGTTCTTTAGAGCAGAGAAAGCTAAGTTCTAGTCTTTGATTATGTTTGCTTATTGCAGTGTGTATGTTGAGGAATCAGATTGTATTCCTGGGTGAAAATCTGTGTAAAAGGAAACCCAAAATCTAGTGAGATTGATCTAGGGCTAAAGCCCTGCCGAGACGTAGGTTCACTCACATCGAGTGATCCGAACTCGTATATCTCTGTCCAAAGGGTATGTGCGTGTGGTTCTCGTTTCTCTGTGCAAGACTAAACATAAATCATCCAAAATACTCAGAATCAACTCTAATCAAACCCTAAATACATTTAATCGGTAACAAGAACAAACCCTAGAATCTGAGTAATAAAGAAACAAGACTTAGGGTTTAGTTACTTATCTCTTTTAGTGCGATTCCTTCTCTGCTGCGTTTTCTATCGAATCTGTGCAGATCGGTGGCTGCGGAGACATCGTCTTTGGTAGAACATCAACTCGAGACTCGTCGCCTCTGGTGGTGTTCGATTCGATCACAACCGAAGTCGAACCTGTAACTGCGATTATCTCTGTCGGCGTTGTTAGCAGGACTGCATTTGAGATTAAAATCTAAGAGAAAGAGAAGAAGGGGGACAGAGACTCCAAAGGGGAAGAAAGAACATTCGTGATTGCAATCTTCGAACAAAGACACGAACTGAGGTTTTCTCTAAATGTTGTGGGCTAGGTTGTGTTTTGGTGGTGGGCTACAGACAGAAGGAACTTGGGCGTGATCCACTTACCGGATCAGTGATAGTTTCTTGGAAAGCAAGAAACGAGGCACGAGGCAGGAGGCAGCAGACAACAGCCAGCAGACAGCAAGTTCAAGACTTCAGAACCTGCAAGGACACCCAGAAAAGTGTTAGCACAGAAAGTCAGAAAAAAAAGAAAAATCAGATTCAAGGGGACAAACCTGTTAGTGCACAGTCGTAGGATTGCGAGGGGAAACACCGGTGAAGGTGGAGCTCGCAAGATATACATAAATAGAAGATAACGACCAGAACATATAAATCAGACTTACTACAGTTTTCAGTGCAGAAAATGGCGACAGTAAGGACAGAGATCGAGAGATTTAACGGCAAAGGTGATTTTATGCTTTGGAAGCAAAAAATGGTTGTGTACTTAGGAAATCTAGGCTTAGATGAAGCCTTGAAACATAATCCTGAATTTCCAGCAGTAATGTCAGAGGGAGAAAAATCTGATATATTGAAAAAGACAAGTCTCGGAGATGAAGTTCTGAGAAGCGTAATCAAGAAACCTACAGCAGCAGACATGTGGAAGATTTTAGAGGAAGAATTCATGGAAAAGGCTCTTCCCGAAAGAATCTATTTGAAGCAAAAATTCTACGGGTTTCGTATGGATGAAAGCAAAAGCACCGCAGACAATATAACAGAGTTTAGAAAGATGATTTCTGACTTGGAGAACATTGAAGTGAAGATTGAAGACGAAGACAAGGCTATCTACTTACTGAACTCATTGCCGACACAATATGAACATGTGAAGGACACTTTGAGGTTTAATAAGAACATTTTGACACTCAAGGATGTGATTAATGCGGCCTATTCTAAGGAACTCGATTTCAAGGCTACAAAAGGCATTTTCAGAATCAAGGAGCGGGTTTAATGGCTAAAGGAAACTTCAGTGGTAACTTTCAGAATCAGGGCAGATTTGACGGAAAACAGAATTCACAGTTTCAGAATAATGGGCAAGCTGGAAATGGTGAGGAGAAGGTCTGTTGGTATTGCAGAAAAAAGGGTCATCTTAAAAAGCAGTGCAGATTGCGGAAAAAACATCTAGAAGGACAACAAAATGCAGGGAATGCACAAACAGTCATCGCAACCGGAAATTTCCTAGACACAGAAGTTCTAACTGTTACTAAGATGGATTCCAAGGATGAATGGATACTAGATTCAGGTTGTGCCTATCACATGACATCAAGAAAGGAAGTACTTTCAGAGTTTAAAGAAATAAACGGTGGAAAAGTGTTAGTAGGTGACAATAACACTTGTGAGGTCACAGGAATAGGATCGGTACAGATTCAAGTGGCGGATGGTTCAAAAAAGAAGCTGTAAGGAAAGTTACAGAATGGATTATACTTCTTACACGGAGTTGCTGTAACAAGTATGACAACAGAAAAATTTGTTCAACTGGATTTTGGGAACAATGGAGAAGTTCAAAGAAATGTTACAATAGCTGAGAAGGCTGATCAACCAAAGTTAGAACAACAGAAAGTTTCTGAAAACTGTGGGAAGGAATCTGAGGGTTTTAAAAAGCTACAAGAGGTAGCGGAACAAGCTAAGCAGCTAGGGATACTAGTTGAGGATAAGCTGCAGAGATTAAATGCGAAAGTGGCAAGAATGGGCAGGTTCAAACAAGCATTGAACCTGTGTAAATTTACAGACTAATCAGTCTGAGAAAACAGGGTTTTAGCAAAAGTTTCTAGATCAATTCATCACTAGGGTCTTCAATTCAAGGTGGAGATTTGTTGAAAGTGACTTGAAGAATGCGTATGTGGCATGACTTATGCTGACATGGATAAACTTCACGTGAATGTAACAGATTGCAAAAGAATCAAGAATAATCAGTTAATACCTTTTTGGCTATAAAAGGGTCCAGATACTTGAAGGTAAAAAAATACTCGTACAAGATACAGTTTTTCACAAGAGATCAAGGGCTTCTGAAGGGTTTTTCAAGAAGCTGAATACTCCTGCAAGAAGAAGAACACGTTAGTTCTTTGGAGCAGAGAAAGCTAAGTTCTAGTCTTTGATTATGTTTGCTTATTGCAGTGTGTGTGTTGAGGAATCAGATTGTATTCCTGGGTGAAAATTTGTGTAAAAGGAAACCCAAAATCTAGTGAGATTGATCTAGGGCTAAAGCCCTGCCGAGACGTAGGTTCACTCACATCGAGTGATCCGAACTCGTATATCTCTGTCCAAAGGGTGTGTGCGTGTGGTTCTCGTTTCTGTGTGCAAGACTAAACATAAATCATCCAAAATACTCAGAATCAACTCTAATCAAACCCTAAATACATTTAATCGGTAAAAAGAACAAACTCTAGAAACTGATTAATAAAGAAACAAGACTTAGGGTTTAGTTACTTATCTCTTTTAGTGTAATTCCTTCTCTGCTGCATTTTCTATCGAATCTGTGCAGATCGGTGGCAGCGGAGACATCGTCTTTGGTAGAACATCAACTCGAGACTCGTCGCCTCTGGTGGTGTTCGATTCGGTCACAACCGAAGTCGAACCTGTAACTGCGATTATCTCCGTCAGCGTTGTTAGCGGGACTGCATCTGAGATTAAAATCTAAGAGAAAGAGAAGAAGGGGGACAGAGACTCCAAAGGGGAAGAAAGAACATTCGTGATTGCAATCTTCGAACAAAGACACGAACTGAGGTTTTCTCTAAGTGTTGTGGGTTGGGTTGTGTTTTGGTGGTGGGCTACAGACAGAAGGAACTTGGGCGTGATCCACTACATAACCAATAAAAGAAGTTCGAACCCAAACCTAAAATCTGCAGATATAGTAATTGTCGCCGTAAAACGTGCGCAACCCGTCAAGTGGATTGACCGCCGGCGACGGATCCCTCGGCCGGAAATTGAACGGCACACTGAGATTGACCAGAGCTTTGACTGTATCAGGCCTAAAGAGACAGAGATACCAAGTCATTAGAGTGTGGAAAATTATGGTGATTGTAAAGAGTGTCAAGAACAAATAATGAAAAACTTCATTTATTCTTGTTAAATATCAAATACATGTATAGGCCTTTAAATACGTTCATGGACAACGTCTACAAAACTACAAATATTATCTTAAAGGCTATATGATATACAATGAATAAGAAAAGTAATCAATAATTAGAATATCCACACTCCATGAAAGAGGTAATGAAGTAATGATGAATGATTTCCAACGGCTACATTGATCTTGATTGGTGCAGATTTTATTTATTCTTGATTTAATTTGGATGATAAGTAATTTTATGTGATATTTTTCCTTCTTTTCTGTTTTGGTATATTTGTTTTCTTCAACATCTCCCTCAAGATTAGCTTAGAGATATGTTGAAAAGCTAATCTTGAAGAGTGAATGCACTAATCCTCCCTTGCGCATGTTATCATCTCCCATGGCGGCTCCTTTGGCTTCCGAGTCCTAATGGGTCCTCCTTTCGATTTTAATTTTCTGTATTAACTCAAGAAGTAGATTAGAACGCACAAGGGAGGCGCCTTAGCACTCCGTTTTGAAGAAACACAATGATTTAAGTTTTGCTAGATCTTTTTCATGAATCTCACGCATATCAAAATAAATTTCATACTCTCGTGCAAACTTACTAACATGATGATCATGATGTCTAAAGTGGTTTTTGTCAAATATAAAGTCATAGTCACCCTCCGTACTTCATTTACTTATTGCTATCAAACTCGGGTCAAACAAATAAGTATTCAGAGATTTAGGGTTTTGTATAATGAAAAAACTAAATCTAAGGTGTTTATTACCCATATCTAGGGATGTTAAACGAGTCGGCTCGGACCAGCTCATTTCGAGCCAGCTCATTTTCAACCCAGCTCGTTAAGTCCATTTTTATTTGGGCCAGAAAATTTCTGGCTCAGCCCAACTCGCTTAGCTCGCAAACCGGTTCATATTTTTCTAAATACTTAAAACAATCATATCAAATTATATAAAATCATATCCAAATGATATATCAACATAAAAAGAACATATCAATACATTCAAATCATACTTATATTCACAATCACAATCTATATACAAAAACTCATTTTCAAATAGATAAAATCATAATTCATCCATGTACAAAAAACTATTTTCAGATCCTAATCCATCCATATACAATTAGACCACCCTAATCCATGTATAAAAAATCATCTTCAAATCTGAATCTATACATAAAAGTTTATCTCCAAATCAAAATATCATACCAACAATATCAACACTTTCAAGTTTCTACGTATTTTTTTTTTTACTCCAGCTCCCGAGCCAGCTCGCGAGCCAGCCGAGCTAGCTCGTTTGGGCTCGGCTCGTGGGGAGCTGGCTCACTCAGCCCATTTTTATTTGGATTCAGATATTCTTGGCTCGACTCGATAGAAAAGGAGCCAACCTCGAGCCGGCTCGCGAGCTCGGCTCGTTTTGACATCCCTACCCATATCCATATGCAACAGTAGTTCCAATTCAGAGATCCATATTTTTCTTGAAGCTCCTTTTGAGCAAGGATATCTTGATGTCTCATTTCCATTTTCGCCTCATGATTTGACTGTCCGATCCCACTTAGAAACCCACAAACATTATATGTGTCATGAAAGTCTATTTGAATAGGACAAAAGAAGAAATTACAAATTAACTTCAGTTTTAAACCACATGAATGTGATTTTCTTTGGTTTAAAATGATACCGAGAGACAGAATATGTTTTGGAATGGTTTGTTTAACCAGCGGAAATGAAGAAAATAATGGTCATCATAGATCTTTGTTCTGATACCATTGTGGAAAATTATGGTGATTGTTAAGAGTGTCAAGAATAAATAATGAAAAACTCCATTTATTTTTCTTGAATATCAAATACATGTATAAGCCATTAAAATAAAATATGGACAACTTCTACAAAACTACAAGTATTATCCTAAAGGCTATATGATATACAATGAATAAGAAAAGTAATCAATTAGAATATCCACACTCCATGAAATATATAATGAGGTAATGATGAATGATTTTCAATGACTAGATTGATCTTAATTAGTGCAAATTTTTATTTATTCTTGATTTAATTTGAATAATAAGTAATTTTATGTGATCTATTTCCTTCTTTCCTTTCTTGGTATATTTGTTTTCTTCAACATACAGAGCCCCAATCGTGACCGACGACGAAGACCCTCTCGTCGTCGTCGGCGGTTACGGCGGAGATGACGGCGACGAGATCTTCGACGATGTGAAAGAGGGAGTAGGAGGATATCTCTGGAGGAGCGTGAGAGTCACCGCATCCGCGGAGGTCAGGAGCCACGGCGCGGAAGCCGAGGGCCGCGAGGCCGGAGATCTGGTGCCGCCATGAATACCACAGCTCGGGGAAGCCATGGATGAGTAGCACGACCACGCGGCCTTCGGGTCCTTTCACTGCCACGTGGATGTCGCCGCCGATCCCTCTCACCGTCCGGTGCTCCACTCCCTCCATCTCCCTCTCTCCCACTGCGAGGTTTTTTCTGATCCAATCACTGTGTCGGCGCCTGTGCGCCGCCGTGTGTCATTTGATAGATAGCATTATAGCAAGATGTGTATTTTACACGTGCTAATTTTTCCCACGCTCATTTAGATTCTAATTTTTTTTAAAAAAACTTTTCGTATAAAATATTCAGTTTTGTGAAAACTGTCACTAAATATACTAATTGAAATTCTATATATGGTGTTGAATGGATGAGGTTTTTATTTTGAGTTTTTGGATTTAGTTTTTGGTTTTTAGATTTTAGTTTTTGGCTTTTGATTTTTATAGATTTGTAAATCCAAAAAAATATAGCTTTTAGTTTTTAGTTCAATTTTTTTCATAAAGTGGTTTTCCTGGTTTTTAGGAAAACCAAATTTAAAAAACTTGATTGATAATTTTTTGAGTTTTTAAAATCCAAAAACTCCCAAAACCTTTTGCCATGCATTAGTTATTTTATCTAAAATATTCAGTTTTGTGCAAAACTGTCACTAAATATTGTATTTCATTTTATTTTTGAAAATCGTGAAATATTACAAGTCAAAGTTAGATACTGTTTCAAATCAACATTTTTTGAATGGCCAAGAAATATAATAATATGATGATATATGTATATATATATATAAATATTGCAATTGAAGTAAGCAGTAAAATCATATATTTAGAAATACAATACCCCATCCTTGTTATAAGAACCGGCATATATACCAGACGGTTCAACCGGTGGTTTAATAAAACCGAGATCGAGATATTGCGTCGGTTTTCAGAACTTGTTGATGAAGTCGGTGATGTGGTGAAGGATCTCGTCCGGTTTCTCTTGGTTAATCCAATGAGCCACTCCCTCCATAATCACCGGCGGCTCCAGCAATGGTACGTCTTCTTTGAATTGAGGACCGTTGATATATTCCTTCATGCCGGGCCTGTGGTAAACGAGATCTAGATCCCCGACTATGAATTTTGTCGGCACAGTGATCTTGCTCCCTATCCATGGCCCTAGTAGCTCATAGTTCCTGACCTCGTCCACCCCAAAAACCATTATAAGATACGATATACAACCTTTGAACATAACTGCTAAGAGTGTAAACAGTTAAGTTACCGGTCGAGATTGCGGTAGAAATTCACTGCTCCCGAGAACCCCGTCTTCTCGAACTTGCTCACGTAATATCGAACATCTTCCTCCGATAGCCAGGACGGTAGAGGGATCGGAGTGTCCGGATGACCCCAAAAGCTTTTATCCTCTGGGATAATAAGCGGGCCGGGCGTACGGAACGTGAAAAACCTCTTCAGTACTCTTTCGGTCCCAACTTCCGCAAACTCTGCTTCTATGGCTCCAGGTTCCTAAAGCCACAACAACACCAAAGCATAGAGTTGGTTGATTATAATCTGTTCATTGAGACCAATATGCTCTGTTTTCTCGTTTTCATTCCCATGAATCCGATCTCTGTCTCCAAGAAAACGTTTGGGATAATGTTTCTTATCTGTGAGATGTGGATACAATCCAATAAGCATTTCTTTAGTTGGTCCATACTGGTTATTCAAAGCAAAATTTAAATAATCTCATCCGTCCAACCACTAAATATAACATCTATACCACAGAAAATACTATAACCATAAACGACATGAGATTCGAATTCTGATAGAGGGAGGATAAAATTCAATTAGTGGATTAAACGATTACAAACAGCGATTTTCTCTACAATCGAAATACCCAGGAAAAAAATCGAACCTGAAATCTGGATATGTAGTAATCGTCGCCGTAGAACGCGCGCAACATTTCAACAGGCTTGACCGCCGGCGATGGATCCGTCGGCTTTAAAGTGAACGGCACACTGAGATTGACCAGAGCTTTCACTTTATCGGGCCTAAAGAGACACAGATACCAAGCCATTACAGCGCCCCAATCGTGACCGACGACGAAGACCTTCTCGTCATCGGAGGCGGTTACGGCGGAGATGACGGCCACCAGATCTCCGACGACCTGCATGGCGGAGTAGGAGGAGATCTCCGGCGGCGCCTGGGAGTCACCGTAGCCACGGAGGTCCAGAGCCACGGCGCGGAAGCCGAGGGCCGCGAGGCCGGAGATCTGGTGCCGCCATGAGTACCACAGCTCCGGGAAGCCGTGGATGAGGAGCACGACGGCGCCGTCATCGGGTCCTTTTACGGCCAAGTGGATGTAGCCGCCTATCCCTCTCACCATCCGGTGCTCCACTCCCTCCATCTCTCTCTCTCTCTCTCTCTCTCTCAGTGAGAGGTTCTTTCTGATCCAGTCACTGTCTGTGCCTGTGCACCGCGTGTGTCATTTGATATATAGTTCGTTGTGTATTTACACGTGCTATTTTTCCCACGTTAATTTAGATTCTATTTTTTTTTAAAAAAAAATTCATATAAAATACTCAATTTTGTGCAAAACTGTCACTAAATATACTAATTGAAATTCTCACAATTAAATATAATTTTTTGGTGAATATTATATTAAAATGAACTATTTAAATCTTTCTAAATTCCAACAGACTTTCTGATACATTAATTATTTAAGAAATTGTTATAGATTTAAATATTTTTATTCTTTGACACATTTCAACATTTGGTATATTTGTTTTTTAATTAAAAAATTTATATATTTTGACATATTTTGCAAAATTAATATATTTTAATGGGATTATCTCTGGAATATAATATATATATATATATATATATATATATATATAAATTTGAAAAATTACGAATTAAAATACATAAAAAAATTTAAACGATATTAAATTCTTACAATCCCATATATATATAATTAGTTTTAATAGATATTCTCTAACAAAACAAAAAATATTATACACAGGGTTTCGTTATTTTTTTTCCTCACGAATTTTATATTATATCAATAATTACACAGACTTATAAAAAATTTCAAACCTATACACATGGTTATGACATTATAATGTTAATTTCATGTTATGTACTTTTCATTTTAGGCTTTTCTAAACCCGAAGGACAATAAATTGACGTCTAGAAAAACAATACTTAGAATATTAATATTTAAATACCATTTTAACGATATTATCGATGATATAATTTGTGTAGATATTATTAATTTATGGATTTAATAATTTCTGTAGAAATTTAACAATATCGTGAAACTTGTGGAGTTAGTAATTCATTTTATTTTTGAAATGGTGAAATGTATCAAGTCAATGTTAGATACCGTTACCCAACAGCTTGTGGAGGAGTCGTCAGCAACTGGATGCAAAGCATTCAGAGGTTGGTGGTCCGATTACTGGTTGGGGAGGAGTTTTCACATGAACTGCCACGGTCCTCTGGAAGATGTAGTTGGACCAAAGGCCCGATGAACTTCCGAATTATCAAAAAAAATATGTTAGATACCGTTTCAAATCAACGTTTTTTGAATGGCTAAGGTTATTAGGTTGCGGTTAGAAAAGTGAAAAATATATAAATTAAATAAAAAGAAAAAAAAAGTGATAGATCTAGACTTATTTACCAACAAATTATTAGAAATAACTTGAAATTATTGCAAATTTCGAATGAGATAACTCAAAATTGAAATAAATAGAAACGAAAAATTCATACGATCGATTCTAAATAAATTTGTGATAAAGCGATGCTGATTATTTTTTTTCTTTAACAACAATAATTATGCAAGAGAATGAGAATCAAAATTAGATAGTTTGATAGAGCCAAGATTAATTTTCTTTTATTTTTTTCTTATTAAGATATATTATTATATTATACTGTATATGATAATTTTGGTTTCTTTTAAATTTTAAAAAATAAAATACTAGTATCTTATTTGTATTTTAAATTTGTGTAATCGAATGTTCGATTATTTTCTAAAGATGAGAACGTGAAAAATATTTCTGTAATTGGAAATAAACCAGCACACTATTTTTGAAAAGTTTTAGACATCTCTAATTTTTATGTATCGCTCAGATTAATTGTATTGAGATAAATGCATCCACTCACGGAGAAGTCACAAAAACGATTACAACTTATCAAAACCCAATGAATATATTTCAATTAAAATAAAAAAAATTAAACTCGAAAATAACTAATTTAATATTTTAAATTAAGAAAACAAACAAAAACGAATTTTAACTGAATAAACTTTAATATATAGAAAATACTGAAGGACTATTTTTTAAAAAAAATTAACCGGAAAATAATAATAGAGCAGTGAATGAGAATATATTATCGCCAATAAAGCCTCGCATTCCACTAGCTTCTCCGACGGGGACACGTTAACTGTAACGATTAGGGTTATTGGATGCGAAATATATTGTTGATGAGTTTTTTTATTTTGATACTACGCTTTTTTTTTTGTTTATTTACATTGTAGAAGTTTCACGTCTGTACAATGAAATTATGTTTCATCTTGAAATTTGGTTTGATTTGGATAAATATTTCTATCCGAATTCAGGTAGGGCTGGGCATTTATACCCGTTACCCGCGGGTTTGCGGATATCCGAACTCGTAGATATCCGAAAAACGGGTACTCGCCTCTGAATGAAGACGAAGACGGGTACATAAAAACGACAACGAAAACAGGTACGGGTTTCATTTTTACGAAGACGGATACCCACGGATACCCGTAAATATATAAAAATATCAAATATTCCTATATTTTTTTAATTATTTATTTAAATATTAGGTTTTAACTTTTAAAAATTAATATATATATTTTAAAAACTTTTAAAAATCTATATATATTCAAGATATATATATTTTTTATATTTTAAATATATATTTGAATTAAATAATATAATTTTACTAAATATTTAGTTTATATTTATTTAAAAAAATATATATTTTACGGGTACGGGTATTCGTGGGTATCCATCTCTTAATCACGGGTATCCGGTCGACGGGTACCCGGTGTGAATGAGATAGAGAATGAGACATTGTTTTTATAAAACCCGCGAAGACAAAAACGAAGACGGGTATATCCAAAATCGCGGACACCCGACCCGTGCCCAGCCCTAAATTCAGGTGCCGTTTGATATGAATTTGTTTTATTATATATATATATATAAAATATTGCAATTGAAGTGAGCAGTAAAATCATCCCCAGGAAATACAACACACCATCCTTGTTACAAGGGGGACTTAGACCAATACCAATCTCTTATTTCTCTTATCCCTTGGAAACAACATCAAAGCTACAGACCGGCATATATACCAGACGGTTTAACCGGTGGTTTAACGAAACCGAGTCGGTTTTCAGAACTTGTTGATGAAGTCGGTGATGTGATGAAGGATCTCGTCGGGTTTCTCCTGGTTAATCCAATGAGCCACTCCCTCCATAATCACCGGCGGCTCCAGCAACGGTACGTCTTCTTTGAATTGAGGACCGTTGATGTATTCCTTCACGCCGGGCATGTAGTAAACCAGATCTAGATCCCCCACTATGAATTTTGTCGGTACCGTGATCTTGCTCCCTATCCATGGCCCTAGCAGCTCATAGTTCCTGGCCATCAGTCCATCCCAAAAGCCATTACAATATACATATACAACCTTTAAGCATAACTGCTAAGAGTGTAAGCGTTTTTTTACGGTGGTAGAGTAAACAGAAGGCATAGAGACGGAGAAGATACCGGTCGATATTGCGGTAGAAATTCACTCCTCCAGAGAACCCCGTCTTCTCGAACTTGCTCACGTAATATTGAACATCTTCCTCGGACAGCCAGGACGGTAAAGGGATCGGAGTGCCGGGAGGACCCCAAAAGCTTTTATCCTCTGGGATAATAAGCGGGCCGGGTGTACGGAACGTGAAAAACCTCTTCAATACTCTTTCGGTCCCAACTTCCGCAAACTCTGCTTCTATGTCTCCAGGTTCCTAAAGCCACAACAACACCAAAGCATCGAGTTTGTTGATTATAATCTGTTCACTGAGATCAATATGCTCTGTTTCTCGTTTTCATTCCCATGAATCCGATCTCTGTCTCTAAGAAAATGGTTGGGACAATGTTTCTTATCAGTAGGATGTGCATACAAACGAAATAAGCATTTCTTTAGTTGGTCCATATTGTTTATACAAAGCAAAATTTAAATAATCTCTTTTATCAAAAAATTTAAATAATCTCCTCGGTTCAACCACTAAACATAACATCCATACCACAAAAACACTATAAACCATAAGCTACATGAGATTCAATTTCTGATTTGACGAAGGACGAATTCGATTAGTGGATTAAGTTGATTACTAACATCGGTTTTCTCTAGAATCAAATACCGAGTGAAAAAATCGAACCTGAAATCTGGATATGTAGTAATCGTCGCCGTAGAACGCGCGCAACATTTCAACAGGCTTGACCCCCGGCGACGGATCCGTCGGCTTGAAAGTGAACGGCACACTGAGATTGACCAGAGCTTTCACTTTATCGGGCCTAAAGAGTAAAGAAATTCAAAGTATTTGGAGATTGATCAAAGAAGAAAGCAAGAACGTATGTTCTGTTTTGGGGGTGAACTTTCTGTAAGAAATATTCACTTGATTCCCATATCATTCATGTACTTCTATTACAGTGTTTATACAGGTTTGATATGCACAAAAGAAAGAAAGTAAATCTCTTACAGAAGGAAACATATAATAAGAAAACGGTAACTTGTATATTTCCATTTGTGCTGATGATGAGTTGTTCATGAGTTTGGTTTCAGCGTGCTCTTAGTCAGGCTTGATTCTTGCTCGTCAACAGATTCTTCCTCGCTTGTCCTTGTGTCCGTTTCTTGCTCGCCAACAGTTTGTTCAATATCTTTTTAATAAATGTTTTACAAACCCAATAACGCCAAATATAAAAAATATCGCATTTTTAAATTCGATTTTTTTTCTGAAGAGTAATAATGTGATTAGTGGAGATTAGGCTGAACACAAAAAATAACAAATTAAGCATCTCAATTTCACCTTTTAATTTCCTCGGGTGGGGCCCCTTTTTTATTAGCCTCATGCAATAAGTCCAAGCATTCCCACCCCGCCCTCTCTCTCCTCTATTTAAAAATATCGCATTTTTTTAAAATTGTAATCATGAAGAAACAAAAATAATAACACTGGAAACAAATGCATGTGCAATCTGGTCAAAACGAAAAAAAAAAAAGGAATCAAATCCTAGAAAAAAGCGTATGACACCAAACTAACCACTTATAAGTTATGATTATTGATTAATGATATATTATCACACTCAAATTGACTTAATCTAAATGGCATGTTTATAATAGTCAAATAAAATTTAATGTGAAAATAATTGTGTATAATAATAATTTAAAAATATAAAAAGAATTAAAAAT